TTCGTTGAACCATGACCTAGGTTCCTTTTTCAGGGTGATGTTTTCTTCCACAAAAGTAATTACGATTACAAACTGTGGAACTTGATGGACTATTATGGGATCAAGACGAGGCTGAAATCTTAGTGGGCGTGTCATGAAAATGTCGAGATCTTCCACGAAGATAAGAGATGCGGAAGCCGTCAGTATGGCCGTAAGGTCACTGAAAAAGGAAGCTAGGTCATGGTTCAATGAAACGCGAAGTGGATCGGGGATGAAATAGATGCTGCATATGCAAAAGCCTCGGCTTGGTACTATGTCACATGCCATCCAAGTTATTTTGGTCAGTATAATGAGGGAATGAATAGGGATCATTTTCTGAGCTTTGCTTGGTATGTTTACGACAAGCGCTGATCCAAACCAAGGAAGAGAAGACGAATATTCGGAGAGCTTTGGATATGTCGTCCTTGGAATACCGGTTTCGACACCGATTGGGTTTGGATTGAGGTTGCTCGGCATATGTTTCCCGTTGTACGAAGTATGTAAATCTGGGTAGTTAATGTTTCCCAAGTACCATGAATGTTGTCTAATGTAAATATCCAGTGGTTGTGATTGAGAAGAAAAAAAAACATTGTATGATATGCTTCAAATTATGTTGGTTTGGTGTATGTATATGAATCCTGCCTCCGTTCCACTCCGAATAACGCTATTAGTGAACCGGCCAGAACTGTTGAACAGTTCGAACCGGACCGGTTGAAAACTGGAAAAAACCAGAAATTTTATTTAAAAAAAAAAAATTAAACCAAACGTCGTTTGTTAAACGAGCCAAGTCAAACTCGAGTATTGCTGAGCTCGACTCGAACTTGAAAACTTTAAAAGTAAGCTCAACTCCACTCAAACTCACAAGTTAAAAATTATCAAGTTCAACTCGAACTCGAAATATAATATTGAAACTTGAACTCAAAAAGGCTTGAACTAAAAAAAAAATTAGAAGCTCAATTGAAGCCTAAAATTCGAGCTTGATTGAAGTGAAAGAATAGTTCACTCAATGCTCACCAAAAGGCTCCATGATTTTGAATGCTAAATTACCTCTATTATTTATAGAAGTTAGTTGTGATGATCTTCTATGTTTCTTAGCAAGGTGGGATTGTTTTGTTCTCATATTTTTTGTAACACCCCCAACCCGTATCCGACCCGGATACGAGTTCGAAGTGTCACATTGACTTTTCAAACATTTATTCGTATAAAATAATGAGTAATTTAAAAACTTTGATAACATTTAAATTATTTCAAAACGTTTACAACAGATATCAGAGTTCATACCATTTATATCTTTAGACTACATGCCAACTACACTCTATAAACAGTACATACATTTTCTGATTTGACATTTGGTAAGGAAAACTGACCTGTCTTGCTCCGCATTACTCTTTACTCTTCTCGAAACCTACGTGTGAAACAATCACAAGCTAAGTCGAAGACTTAGTGAGGCATAACAACTTATAATGCACTTAATAACATATATCGATACATGCATGTTCTGTTCTATCATGTTATAGCAATTCCATGCATTTTTTGTATCATATAAAATCATATCAGATTAATTACAGTAAATACATATGTACACATAATTCATCATTAACAATTTATCATGTAATCACATACTTTTTCAATCAAACACTATACACACACAACATCATATCATTTCTATAGCATTTATAATACCACTAACATATATTTGTTCATATCTCTGGATTAGCCCATGTACATATGTGAGAACTATCGATATGTGAGTCTATAGAGGTTGTGCACTAATGCTGTCACCACAGCTCGTATAATTGCACCGAAGTGCCGCGTAGAATTGCACCGTAGTGCCATATAATGATGTCCATAAGGACCACATAGAATTCTTTAAGAATCATATACATATACTAGGGATCAAGTATGTGTCTTTCAAGACTTCACACATGTTCCACAAAATATATATATATCCCGAAGGACCGCGTAGAATTGCACCGTAGTGCCATATAATAATGTCCATAAGGACCACTTAGAATTCCTTAAGAATCATATACATATACTAGGGATCAAGTATGTGTCTTTCAAGACTTCACACATGTTCCAAAGAATATACATATGTCCCGAAAGACCGCGTAGACCCTCGACTCTTGGCATGCCAACTATACCCCTAGCTCTCATGACACATAACATGGGCGTTATCATTTATTTCATTTCAAATATTCACATAAACTTGTAATTCACTTTCACATATCACGTATCACATAGCTTCTTTTCATATTATCACATAGTCACGTAGTTCACTTACACGTAGATCATTTCCATATAATTCACATGTCACATATATCATGTTTTTAGATAATTTCTATCATTTCTCACCCAATCACATTTATTCAGGTAAACATACTTATTATATCTTGTTCACATACAATCATATACTTCATATAACATATAGAAACACATAGAACACTTTCACGTAGCTTATAATCATAGGTCTTATCTCATAACATATACTTGTTTTCACATATATATATTTCATATCAATTCTTATACCATCACATAATTCCTTTAACATACATAACATATTATGTAACATTATAATAGAAATACCTATAAGTCATATCACTTAGAGCACATATACTTATAGTCACATTGCTTATATCTTAATCTTATGCCTTCTCTTAAACATATATATATTCACATGTTCAGGTAATCCACCATTTCATCACATAATTATGTATTCATATAATTCATTTCATTTATTTCATATATATCTATATATATATATATATCCTCAAGATTTATCCTAATATAAATCATATAGCACTCTTATAATTCATATTCATATTCATCTATGGCAGACTTATAAACACATCTCACTTCTATTATTTCTTTATATATATAATCTAATCTGTTTACTTAATTCAATTTCATATAACTCCTATAATCTTCTCATATAACTTCATAAATTTCTATCATACAACCCATGTGTTATAGTTTTATTTAAACATATGAATCTTTCCCATCTAGCTTATCTTGTATGTTCATCTTATCATTTATGTTCAAATCTCCTAGTTAGTGTACTATTCTCACTTCATCCTATAGATCAATATTATCCAGCTTATTTCACTTATCATATAATAATATAATTATATTTTACTATGATCACATAGTTTATATCTCATATAATTCATAACCTTTCTTATGTAATTACTTATACTTTATCATCTAACACATAAAAGAACAGATCAATCCATATAATCAAGCATACATACATGCATATTCCACTCATGCCTTTAATCATGAATTCATGTGTAACACTTTAGGAAATAGACTCATCGCAAGTCTTATTCCCATCGCACATCGTATACTATTGAATATGCACTCACCTGGCCTCACTAGTCAATTCCAATCTCTTATCTTTCCCCTTGATCGATCTTACTTGCCAAACGTTCCGGAATTGCTTTATGCATAGAATCTACATAAATGTACATTTTGAGGCAATCATTAGATACCTACACCTTGTAGTTGGATACTAGCAACTTAAACGAATTTATTAAACTCATATTCACAATTTCCTTTAGGGGGAATCGGTTCCCTACTATGGGGGTATCGATTCCCTAATGACATTCTGGAAATGTTGTTCGTTTGAAGGGGTATCGGTTCCTCTCGAATGGGTACCGATTCCCCTTGCCCAGAAATCATATTTTCAACCCGAAAATTACTTCATTTCCACTCAAACACTTCATATATTATCCACTTTTCATTCTTAACTCTAATACACATACTTAAACCAATCTATATTCATTTATTTCATCTTAAACCTCAAAATCCTATCTTCCATATGAGATTCAAAAATCATACCAAATTTTCAATGTGTTCTAATTCCAATTCTAACACTTCATACTTCTTAATTGGATTGATGACAAGTCAAATTCATCCATAAAACTTCAACAACCATACCATATCAAAATTTCATCTTAAAACTCATATTGCAAATTCCTTCATAATTCCTTTATCTTATTGTTTAAATCCCATATAAGCTTTCCTTAAGCTTATTTAATACCCAAAGAATCAAAACTAAGCTTAAAACTTAAGAATTAATCAACTGAAATTAAACTTACCTTTGCCTTGCTCTCCCACGTATGAAGAAGAAGAAAGGAGCAGAGAACTCTGGATGCTTCTCAAATTTCCCACGTTTATATTACCTTAAAAAGAAATATAAAAATCTTTCTGGTCAAATGACCATTTAATCCTTAATTTCCTTTAATAATTACTAATTAACCTTCATCATATTCATCCAATAATCATTGAACTATTTCATTCTTATACTTTAGTCACCAAATTCTGAAACTTTACAATTTGGTCACTAACCCGGTATTGCGGATGTTACATTTTTACTCTTTAGACTTTTGGGATGCTCTTCTATGTTTCTTAGCCATGTGGGATTGTTTTAAAAAAAAAAATTAAATCAAACAATATCATTTTGTTATGATTTTTTTAGCCCCAAATTTATTTTTTAATTATAGTTATATAATTATATTTTTATTTAATATGTTTTACCTTAAATATTATGTTGTAGTTAATTTGAATCATTTTGTTTCACTTGATTTTATGGTTTTTAATTTATATATGTTATGACTTGCTTTGAATATGACTTGTGATATAAAAAATTTTTTTTTTATTAAATATTTTTGGTATTTTTATTTAATTTTTTAAATAATTATGACGTCGTCCGATTCTTCCAACCGATCAGACCGATTCGATCGGTTGAACCAGTGAACCGGTAACATGACCGGTTCGCTAACCGGTCCGTTCTGAAAACCATGCTTTCGGCGAACGAGAGAGCCAATGCAGTGGAGAAACGACGTAGGCAATACATGTGTAAATCTAATCAATAATACTATAAAAGTAGAGGGACTAAATAATGAATATCAAATTTTAGCATTGTATAGACCACTTTTTCCACTAATAGCAATATGGGTCCCTGGTGCTATCAACACCATTTATTTTCGGATTAAAACAACTAGGAGCTGATTTCGATCCTTGTACCCCGAGTCCACTCGTTCAGAAAACATGAAGAGTTTTTTGGTCAAACGATCAAACATTTCATCGTCAATATCACTGCTAAAGTTTTGGATGAACATTCCTTCCATTGCTGCCCTAACATGAACGACCCAAGCTTTTATATCAACTCGGCCATTTGTTAAAGAAGCTGAGTTGATTAACTCCAAAATCTCAATGCTGAACTGCCCATTTTTCTCCACCGTCTCCGCCATATCCTCCAGCGACGGGGTGTATATCGGGAACTCGAACATTACACTTTCGGCCAATTGGGAATAAGGCATTTCATTGGGAATACCCAGCATGCTGATGACCATCATGCCGCCACTGACGATTTCCGTTGCTCTCGCACACAAAAAGTCATCCATGTCCTTGGCGAATTGAGCTGCGTAAGCTCGGACTACTTCGTCGGAAGCATTAGTGTAGTGTATCCTCCCTTTGTTCCATGCACTTGAGTTTTTGTCTAGCAGTTCTTCTGGTTCCTTGGAAAGCCAATGGACAGCGTGCCAGCAGTGCGCGAAGTGGATTGAGGATGCCGGGAATAACCGGCAGTGAAACGAGCCCGGGACACCGGCCGCGAAGTAGGGTATTTCCCGAGGGAGAGATTTGAAGAGTGTGTTGAAATCGTTGGACGGTTGTTCGTTAAAAAACACTAAGAATTCTAGTGTTTTGTCGGATTTTGGGCATTGGAGGCTGTACTTTTGTTGTATAAAGTGTATGATATGTTGCATGGTGTTTGTGGGTATTCGGACCAACAGCACACCCCAAATCTGCGATGGAAATTGTGTTGGATGTAGAAGAAAATGTCTTCACATCAAGCTTCATTGTTATCGCTCCCTAGATTGTTTCCTTAACCACATTTGCAGCAAATCTCTGTCAATTGTGTCTCGTAAATTTTTATTCTCCAGTGAAAACTTGAATTATAAATTTTTATAGGAGTTAAAATCTTATTTTACCATTGATTTGACTTCTAACTTTACTTCTTTTAGAATAGTTAACTCCACAGGAAGTCCCTTAACAATGACATCTATTTTTAATTGGTCCCTATACTTTAAAACATTTTATATCGGTCCCTAATTATGACCTATTCTAAATTGATCCATAAATTTTAAAACATTCTATATCATTCCTCAAACTACCAGTATCATTCCATTTTGATACTGATGGTTTAAGGACATATATAGAATACTTTAAAATTTATGGATCAATTTAAATTGATGTCATAATTTGAAGACTGACATAGATTATTTCAAATTTTCAAAAACTAATTTAGAATAGAGTCGTAATCTGAGGACATCTTATCCAGTTATCTCTTTAGAATGATCAAATCAAAAAATTTCTTTAAAGAGATTAAAATGTATTTTTTTCATATACTCCTACTAACTTATAATTTTACAATATTCAGAGAGATTTGTGTATAGTTTTACCAAGTAATGAATAAAAAACTTAAACGAGATATAGACCAGAAAATAGGAGTTTCTGGTATAGCTGTAAGCGCCATCGCCACCGTTGACATGAAGTGAATCTGGACGTGGCCGCCTTTCACTTTCACCGTCGCCACCGGTGATGAGTAGAGTTGGACCAGATTCAACCTCTGCCATGAATGTTATTTGTAGAGATTATCGACTGAACAAAGCTTAGTGAGATTTGTTTCCATTATATAGAAATTAAGGGAGAAAATGAAATGCACATGCATATCGAGGTATCATATGGCATCTAGCTCGTGGCTACCATCGTGTAGGAATCAATACTATACTGATTTGTTTTATTACATTAATGCCGTATATAATGTATGGTAATAAAAAGTTATATATATATATATATACATATATTTATATTAATTTTGACAATATGCATATTTTAGATGCGATTGTTTGAAATCTCGTTTTTTTAGAAAAATAATGTTTTCTTTTACTGTTAAGGTCATTCGAATAATTTCTAAAGATATATATATATATATATATATTAAAATTACAGGTTAGGGAGCTTCGCTGCAGTTAAATCTTTTACTGCTTTAAGTTGTTCGTGCTCTCTAGGTCCCTAGGACATGCAATGGTGTTGAAAATATAATGTAAACACGGAAATTAAATGAAATGTTATTTGAATTCTGATGAATATCGTATTAATATTATTCAGATTTATGGCTGAAATCTCCAAATTTTCTTTATATGTATATGGAGAATATTTATGTTAAAATATGAATCAAATTCGAATTTAAGACACACACATACAGTTAACATACACTGATACAGTTGCATAGGCAAACATGATTATGTTACTCTAATACTCTTAGTGCTGAGCCTGAGATCTGTCTTGAAAGGCACATGGGAGCGTGCGTGCTTTTAGTTTGTTCGTGTCCTAATCAAATATGGGACCATCAAGCATGCTTGTCTTCTCTGCAAAATTTTGGTTAGATGAGATTATCAGCCCCATTAATACATTCCTTCTTTTTAGCTTTACCTTTTGTTTATTCTCCTTTTTTATTATTCAATTGAATAGGGATGGGAGATTCATTTTTAGTATTTGTTCTTGCACAACTAAGAGAAAATAGATAGGTGATGTTTATTGCTGTTTATTTTTTAGTTTAGGTGGAGAGTCGTTAAGAAACGATGTTGATCGAAATTGTAATTTATGAATATGTAAAAAATGATAGCTTTGCATTCACTCTTAATGACTAATGAGAGTACATATAAAAGGAGAAAATTACATGGAGATGTGGGATTTAAATCTAAATACGAACACTAAACGGATTAAAGGAAACCCATATGTTCTGTTCTTATAAACAAAACATAAAACCCCGCAAGATAAACTATATGGTTCTTCAGACATTAGTAAATAAGAACTAGGGATGGATAACCTTAGCTATGCCGAAAGCAGCGGCGGATGCAATGGCACCGATGAGAGCAGTTTGGAGAGCGCTTTTAACCGGTTTGTTTCCCGTGAAGTAACCTTTGGCGTAACCGAAGACGAGTAGTGCAGCTATGGTGATGACCACTGATGCAACCACAGCATCTTTGGCTCTTGGTATGAACATGTAAGGAAGGAGTGGCACTAACCCACCCAATATGTATGCAATGGCAATGTTGAATGCGCTTTGCAATGCTCTTCTTGGATCTGGCTTCTCTAATCCCAGCTCAAACCTGCATATTTTATCAACATCAAAATATGTCATTAGTCCTCATAATATAATTTAGCCAGATTTAGCCTTTATATTTTTTTTTAAATTTGAAATTCTAATTCTGATCCAAATAATACAAGGACGATACAATTAAATTGTAGGAATTTAAAATAATCAAATCAGAAAATAAGACCTAAATGTACAACTTACACATAATATAAAGACTAATAACATAGTTTAAATTAGTAGAGTTTACAACTACGGTTCAATTCAAGATCAAATTTTAAAATTTAAAAGTACATAGACAAATTAAGTCCACAACTTACTATATAATCCATTGATTAGTAGAACTAATTAACCTTTTATCAGTCATTGTGTATTAATACGATGGATCTTTATAAAAATATAATAAAGATAAACATAGAATAATCAATCACATGTATTTAGTCATCACATGAACTTTAATACCATCTGAAATTGAGTTAATTTGGACCTTTAAACAAATGACAACAAATCTCTCTCAATACTACTTTTCTATAACTATAAAAAATTAAACTTGAAATCGTACTTAAAGTACATCTAGTTGGTTGCTGCTTGAATCAATAAAAGTTGGTAGGTAGTATTTTTGTCCTTGAATATGATGGTTCTACTCCACTGAAGACTAATGAGGGAATGAACTTGTAGTAAAAAAGTATGGAAATCTTTGTCAAACATACAAAGAAAGAGAATTTTCTTTAAAGGAACTCGAAATGGCCCCAAAAGTTGCATGCCAGAACCTGTTGCAGTCTGATCCCATGCCACATGGGGACCTTCTTAAAGAGAAAACAGCTTTTAGCCGAACATTTGAAAAGCAAATTTGGCATTTTGCTCTACTTTTTAGAGACTGACAATGAAGCCACTCCACTCATTCACTCAATTCGTCAAACAACTCTACTACAATCTAGATATTAATGTTCATTCCAATAGAAGCAAACAAATAATTGTTTACTTTGAATCTGTTTTTTTACCTAATTGTTAGGTACTTAAAACTTGGAATCGCTAGTAAATCAATGGATTCCACCCATAACGCAATTGTTGAAGGATTGAAAACACGAATGCAAATATCAATTTGAACTTACTTCATCATGAAATCAAGCCAAGCCTGAGGCCTTTTTCTTAGAGCATTCACTACTGGTGCATATTCGTGCGGTTCTACTCCGTACTCCGCCAGTATTTCCGCCACTTCAGCAGCCTCTGCGTTTTCACCAACAAAAGAAAGAAGCCAGAAATTTTGACACAATTGTATTCATGAAATGCAGCTGTATTCATAATAATAGTTTAATTATTACCAGTATCAGGCACACTGATTATTTCTTCTTGCTCTCTTTTCAACTCTCTCGCGTAATGATCGGCTTCACTTCTAGCCGCAAGATACCTGCAAAAGCCTAACATCTTTACACCTTTTCACTTTCATTTTGCTCGAAGTTTCTTAGTAACCAAACAGTACCCATTGTCCCAACATAATCTAAACAACGAAAATATTAATATACGTATGAGTTTACCCGCCAAGTCCCATGGAGATGGCTCCAGCGGCAACTTCAGCGATGCCAGCGGTGATAACAATGGAAGAACTAGCATTGGCGCCAGATAATCCGGCGGCGAGAGCAAAGGGCACAGTTAAACCATCGGAAACACCGATGATGATGTCACGGACGATCTCTCCGGCGGTGAAGTGTTTCTCCTTGTGGTGATTGAGAAGCCTTTGCTTATCGGGTTCAATGGTTCCTCCGCTGTTTTCGGGTGCCATTGGAAAACGAGTTCGTGGAAGAGCGTTTGTTGTTTTGGTAAGTAATTGTAGGTTGAAGGAATCGAAATGGGGGCTTTGTTTTTATATAAACAAGGGATTGCCTTTGAATGGAAAATATTGGCGTATTTGGCAAGTCTTCTCATATTCCAAAAATTTTGACCACACATGAGAGCACAAGGTTTCTTTTGCCGGATGAAGCCGTAATCCGCAATTATTTAAATTCGAATCCACGTTATTTATTACGGTAATATACCCTAAAATGCAACTGATTTTTAAAGTTTATATTTATTTTACTATTAAATTTTAGATTAATTTCATTCTAAGATAAAATACAAAAAAAGTTTCAACCATACAACTACGTTAAATGCTTCGAATATTAAAAGTTATAATGTCATTTTATTGAACATCCTAATTATTAAAAATTATAAAATAATCACTCAATCATTCATATATAGCAAATTATCTCTTTCTATTGAAACATAAACAATCATCTAAACTGAACATTGACTCGAATATGATAAAATTTGATTCCAAAATCATTGATCTGTATAAATAATAATAATAATAATAATAATTCATTTATATATATATGCTACTTGTTTGGACGATTCCATAATAGACTTTTGGCAATAGTAATTAGTAATTTACAAACAAAAGCAATTACTCGAGTACAGACAGTAATTCAGCATCTCAAATCAAGAGTCGTTGGTGGTCGAAATAGCGTTTTCCCTCGTTGAATACAGAGAACTACAAAGTTTCAAAAACTGGGAGCACAGGCTATGCTAAATTTATTTGGGATTTCTCAGAACAATAATAACAGAATCTCCCCTAAGAAACATCTTGCTGATGAATCTGTCCTTGTTAACAGGCAGTGCCTTTTTCTTGCCTTTCCCAGTTTTCGGTACCTTTATCGAATGGAGAAACAATTTAACCTTTCTAATTTGACTGTAATGAAGATTAATGTATAAGATTAAGGCATACAAAAGAAGGAAAAGAGAAACTACCTCAGTCCACATTTCCCTGACATTTTCCAGAACCATGTTACAGTGGCGATCAAAAGTTCTCACTCGGCCTAGGAGTTTTTTGTTGTTGCGACAGTTGATGAGAACCTGCTTCCTTAAAAGTTAAATTCAGTTCTGAACAAAGCATGTTGTGATTAACATGTAGATGAACATTGCTAGGGGTTGGCATATTACCTGAGTGTTATTTTTCACACTCATCATCAGAACCGACAGTGGTTCGGTGTTAAATTCCTCTTCCTCGTTCTTCACAGTCTGCAGACAGGTAAGCAAACACATACATTTTGCTCAATAACATATAAAAAACAAAAATAGACATTCTTATCGTTTTAATGAAGAGAGAAAAGGCATTTAAGGCAGCATACATCTTCTTCCATTGGTCGACTGTAAAAAGTGAAGCGGACAAAAGAGACATTAGTACATGATATAAGAAATGCAACAAGCAACCTTTAAAGGCTACCAAATGAACAGAGAAAATGAAAGAAGGATAAAAATAATTAGTACCTCATTTACAACTATGAAAGATTTCAGTGCAATCTCTCGGTGAACCCAACAAAAACCTGCAAAAAAGGAGAGCAAATACCATTAACACCGGAAACTCAAGAAACACTCAGTACATTTGAAAATGGAACCAACAGGGGAAACTGGACACTTGTCAAAACAGTTGTAGAATATTAAAATGCATAACCAAAAAACACTACAAAATTGCCCAAATGGAAATGACATTATTAGACCTCCATCGCAAAACTGACCAATGAACAAAAACAAAATAATCAAAACCCACCGGTTCGGCTTTCTTTTTACTTCGTTTTATATGAAAATCAAAGTTACTCAAGCTTGTGTGTGAATGTCAGACTCAGACATGGGTATCAAACTACAAATTGAATTGAAAAATCATCTGAAACTCTTCAGCTCAGGTCTCCGTAAATTTTCAGCATTTATTAGCTCGGGAGAACGAAAGTTTTTTTATAGTAAAAAAAGAACGTCAATGCCTAATAACGAAACGAACAAGTACAAGCTAAGGTATTAACTAAAATGCAAAGAACACAATTTTCCTAGACCCTAATTCAACAACAAATATAAGCTAATTTACATCAACCTCTTCAGTTCAGGGCACCAGAAATTTTCCGCATGGATTTTCTCGGAAGAACGAAAGTATTCATTTTCAATCATCCTCAGAGGCAAAGGGGGTGGGGGGAATCAATCAATAAAACATAGCACATGCTAAATGAAAACAAATATTGAAAAAAAAGTATAATATCTCTTCAGCTCAGGTCTCCATATAGAATTTCCGCACGGATTTTTCTCTCGGAAGAAGGAAAGTTCTTCAAATTTAAATCATCATCAGATATATTTTGCGTAATCATTGCATAATCGAAAACCCTAAACAGCAAAAAATAGCTAAGAAAACAATAAAAAAAAAGTAAAGAGCGTAAAAATAAGAGATTCAAAAGGAATTTACCCGAATATCATACTTAAAAAATCTGACCCGAACAAAATAAAGTTTATCCGACCCGACCCGAATATATGAATTAGAAATCCAACCCGACCCGACCCGGAATAATAAAAAAATTATTGTTATTTAATAAAAACAGTGACTTAATCCGACTCAACCTGAATTATATATATTTTTGGGTCGGTCTGATTTTTTCACCCTAAACCCGAACCCGACCTAAATATCACACTTAAAAAAACTCAATCTGACCCGACCAAAATAAAGTTTCGCCTTACCCGAAATAATAAAAAAATATTTTTATTCAATATATGAATAAGTTATCAAATGATTAATTAGGGTAGTATGATCAAATTTCAATTCCTTCCAACAAGGGACTTGAATTCCATTCATTTTTTGATGGAATTCACTTTCCCTCATTTGATAGAATTGAATTCCATCAGGGATTTCAATTCCCTTAAAAAACTTGAACCAAACATGGGAAAATGGTGGAATTATATTCTAATTCCCACCAATTCCAAGAGATTTCATCCAACCAAATGCCATCATAGTTTTAAATTAGGGTTTTGTTGTTGGGCTTGAAACTACTGTTTAGTACCAAATATCAATGCATTTGGGATTTTGGGCTATAGTTTGTTTTAGTTTATGGGCTCAAGTACTCAAATCACGAATATGCTTTTTGGTAGACTACACGTTTAGTCACTCAACTTTTAGTATGGTTCTGTTTTAGTCATTACTTATATTTTTCTAAATTTAATCATTTAATTTTCGAATTTAACTCACTTAGGTAATTAGACTGCCATTTTTTGAACAATATTTATTTTTATGGAAAATTTATGCATCCCCTAAATCTTCTCAAATTTGGATTTTCAAATATTTTCTTTCAAATAACAATGAAGGAGGAAAAAAGTAATATATCATAATTTCACATTGATTAAATGATGAATAATACAAATTGAATCGAAATAAGATTAAATTTTTTATTTATTTTATTTTTAATAATTTTGAAAAAAAATCAAACTGAGAAGAAGAAAGAGAAAAAGAAAGAAAAATATTTTAATACCAATTATATCGCAAACAATTGACAATGATAAAAAAAAAAATTATCGATCATAAAAAGGAACAAGATTAAAATTTTAGGTCAAATTCAAAAATTAAAAATATAAAATGCGGTGTTATCGTTATGGTATTAAAGACCTGTGTGAATGATCTAAACAGCCCTTAAATTTGTAAATGATGAATAATGACACTTTATGAGGAGGAGATAGTATTACACAAATCTAAATAATGATTAAACAGAATGTGGCCTTTAAGGAAGAATGTCAAAAAATTTCGCACAATGATTAAACATAGTCAGTGTTATATTAATTATATAATATTACATAATTTAATAAAAAAAAAATTATTAGAATATCAAAAGATGCATGCACGCCTATTAAAGACAACAGCAAACATCCCTTTAACTTAATTCCTTTCAATTCATTCCCTTTTATATAAATATAAATAAATATGAAAGAGCAACCCATTATGAAAGAGCGTCCCACGTGCTTAACTATGATACTCTCATAGTGAGTATGATATATATATTAGTATGAAAAATCATGAACATATACGGTTAAGAAAGGAATTAAGATCAAATATTGGGAAACTAAAATTATTTTATATTAAAAGAATAAGAATTTATTAAGTATTTATATCAAAAAATTGAGAGGGGCAAAAGTCTTATTTGACTAGTATTAAAACTAAAATGAACTTAAAAAATTATTATACTAAAATTTTTGGAAGGGGCAACATCCCCTCCTAATCACTATGTAGTTTCGTCCTTTGACACTATATAATAATCACATCAGACTATTTTAAAAAGAAGTTGTTCATTGTATTTTTTTAAAAAAAATTTATACAAATTTAAAATTGTTGGATGAGTTGAAATAGACAGTTGAGACTAACAATAAGAAATAAAAAGATGATCACTGAAAAAAATAATAAATTAATCTCAGTCGTCTTATCCAATGATTGTTGGAGGAGATTGAAGTATTAGAATATTGAATCTTCATATTGATTTTCTTCGGTTTGGAATATAGGTTTCGTGAAAAATTAATACGATAAAAAGAAAAATGAGTGAAATATAGATATTTTAGTATTGATCTTATCATGAATGACGATCAATAATGGACAACGATTGAACTATCAACGATAACAATTTGATTGACAATGATCAAACTGATACGTAAAATGAATTTTTGTAAATAAAAAAAAGGTCATCACATTATTAATATTTCTCAACATTTACATTGAACCCAAAATCAAATTTAACTACTTACATGAAACCATTGGTTTATTAATCATAAATACATATTTTATTTTACAGAAGCATCTAACTGCATAAAATGCCCATACCTTGTATAGCCATGCCCATGTGCAACATGGTTGCTGACCCTCAAAATTTTCCACTTTCTTTTGCTTTCCCTTTTACCTCGTTGCTTCGTCTGATTCTCCATTTTCACACCATTCCCTTCCTTTTTTGCAGCTCTTTTTGTCTGCCACATTCATATGAACCCAAACAATACATTGTTCCCATCATATAACAAGAACTCAAGGGTCCCAATATTAGATTGTAACCAAAGATCATACCAAGATAAAAACACACACATTTACGTGAAAAACCGACCATGATTGAGACAAAGATCACAGTCTTTAAGGAGGCTCCATGGAAACTCAATTACAAACATTCCCCATCACAAACTTTGTCATTTCAGTTGTGATTATATAAACATTCCCCATCACAAGCATCGTAGTTATATAAAGAGAATTAGTGATTTGAGCCATCTCTTTGTATTCATCCAATGATTTTAAATCAGTCTAAAATTAAAGAGTTTTATTCCACCGAGAGGAAAACAAATTCATAATAGTTCCAATCAAATCTGTCAAAGGGGTAGATACAATATATCTTTGAAAAGCATTGCTATTTGATGCCCATCAACCTCAATTCAATGCCAATTTTTTCACATGCTGTACAAAAACAATTATTATCCTTTCATGGCATTGTGGGACTGACCTTCTCAACTAACCCCCAACTATGTTCCAAAATGAGGGTCTAATCTTCAATTTCATTGAGGAAAAAAAGGAAAGAAAGTATGATTTGCTGAAACTGTTAATAGCTAATTTAAGTACCCTTTGTTGAGTATCTACCAGAAAGCCTTGAATCGTTAACCAACCGGAGCTCTACGAGGAGTGCCTTTCCGTTTCATCGATCGTTTCCTAGGCTTTAAACTTTTGGTCACCAATGTTTTTGTCTCCTCGGAGACATCGGTTGATGAAAGGGATGATTGCTTCTCTTCTGTGCTTATTTCCGGTGAATTTTATTGTATTTCCATGGAAGATCAGGGAATTCGAGTTTACCAGTTCGGTTTCCAGGCTTCACATGATCAACGGTTGAGACCTGAAATGCATGTAAGAAGTTCAAGTAAAGAGAAATGGGGTAATTCAAGTTATGAAACTGGGTTGAATTTTACTCTACCTTGCATGCGATGGAACAAAATCTATTAGGAGGGTCTTGAAGGTATCTTCCACAAGCCTCACAGGAGGCGCCGGGTCTCGATTTCATTGACGTTTTGGCATCTTTAGCTTGAGGCCGAGGGTTCAAATGTACAGCTTTTTCACCGTTGATTTTATATGTCTGCCAAATGATTATAAATCATTCATGTATGCATGTATCAGTAATGATTAGAACACAATTGATACAATTTGTGCATTCTAATAAGTATTTCACCCCCAAAACAATCATTGATCATATCTATGAGAAATAAGGCAAATGAATCACACTGAATTCATTACAATTACAATGAAATTTTAAGAACTAAAGATCAATGAGAGGCATTGGGAAATCACCTGAATTTTGGAACAATCAATATGTTTCTGCATTTCTTGAAGTCGAACAACATCTTGATAGACATATTTGCAGATCTGAAGAGAAAGATGTTGGCTATGAACCTTACAATGCCGGCAAAACCCGAGGCTGCAATCGATGCAGAAGACGTTCTTCTCGTTTTTCCTAAGGTCTTGATGATCAGAGCAAGGGCTAAAGAATTCAGTTTGAAGAAGGGCACTAAGCCAATCTGTTTTATCCTTTATGAACAACTCGCAGCCCACCTGCAATAATCAAATTCTTAATCCATTCGAATCAAAAAAAGCTCCAAAAAAGTTATGAACTTTCAAGCTTATGGATTAACAATTCATTCCAAGATTACAACTTTGATGGTTGATAAGTACTCAAAAGCAATGGATTTACGATCTATTACAAGATTCAACGTTTTTGTGAATATA